TCTTACTGGTGAGGAGCTGGTGGCAAGCAAGCTGGCAGGCCTGGCTGTATTTCAAGAATATTAAATAACCTTCATCATTCCAGTTCCTTTAGGATGTAATTTTGCTTTATCAGGGAAATATCCTCAATTGTGGTATCAAAGATTTCACATGGGGAAAATACTGTCTTCTTTAAACTCAGTCTTCAGCATTAGTGCCACTGGTTTCTTTATCTTCTGCAGAATATATGAGGTTTAGAAGTAAAATTCATTGCAGTTAATAAATTGTATATGCAGGATATATAAGTATATGCCAAAACCCAGCAGTGACATATAAAATATACAACTAGATGAAAAAAAAATACTATATGCCTTTGATGTTTATTTTGTTTCTTCCCCAATTAATTCCTCTCCTTTGGGCTATCCCAAACTGATGTCAAACTGTTTGATTTATTTCCCCTCGTGAAATGCGGCGTTTCCTGCTTGCTGGATTCATTTCACAGAGCTCTCGGTGTGGGGCTTGGCTGAGCATCCTGCATCCCACGGCAGGGGCATGGTGGGACCGCATCGGCTTCCTGGTGGTGGGCTTATGTCGAGGGGTCTCAGAACTCCTCAGTCCTTGAGGAGTTGTTGTTTATGCTCTTAGATTAAAAAAATGTAGGTATCATCTGTACTGAACCTGACCTCTTCCTGCTCTTCCCAATTTTGCGCCAGGAGAGGTTTAGGTTGGATATTGGGAGGAATTTCTGTACTGAAAGGGTTGTCAAGCACTGGAAGGGGCTGCCCAGGGAGGCGGTGGAGTCCCCATCGCTGGAGGAGTTTAAAAGATGAGGAGATGTCGTGCTTAGGGACATGGTCTGGTGGTGGCCTTAGGGCTGGTTCAATGTTTGGACTCAATGATCTTCAAGATCTTTTCCAACCAAAACCGTTTTGTGAAACCTTCCTTAAGATCCCAGTTTTAGGGTGTTTTCTGTGCTGGTGTACAGTGAGGAAGGGCTTCAAGTCCCTGCTAGGGGAGGAGCAGTTGTGCCATACCAAGCTGTGCCATGCCGTGTCGTGCTGCCTCTCTGCAGCAGTGCGTCAGGGATGGGCTGCCCTCCACCCGGCCAAGAAGAAGTGTGGACTGCCTGAGAGAGATGGGGCTGTTCAGCCTGGAGAAGAGAAGGCTCTGGGGGGACCTTATTGCGGCCTTCCAGTTCCTGAAGGGGTCCTACAGGAAAGCTGGGGAGGGACTTTTTACAAGGGCAGGTAGCAATAGGATGAGGGGCAATGGTTTTAAACTGAAGAAGGCAGATTTAGGATGGATATTAGGAAGAAATCATTCCCTGTGAGGTGGTGAGGCCCTGGCCCAGGTTGCCCAGAGAAGCTGTGGGTGCCCCCTCCCTGGCAGTGCCCAAGGCCAGGTTGGATGGGGCTGTGAGCAGCCTGGGCTGGTGGAGGTGTCCCTGCCCATGGGGGTTGGACTGGAGGGTGTGAGGTTCTTTCCCATCCAAACCGTGCTGTGATTCTGTGATCCATGAGCCTGCCCTGGTGAAATGGAGGCAGGGTTGGTCGCAGTAGCTGCCGGCTGGGCTTTTCTTCAGTACAAAACCTTGTACCTTGTAATTACCCTGCCAGCAGCCCAGAGAGCGTGATAAATCCATGGCGGGGGCAGAAAAGCCTTTAAAAGCAATCAGCTGCTGCTTGCAGCCGCCTGAGCCCATTGCTTTGTGTGTTGTGGCCGTGATTGTAATAAACATCCAGGAGGCAGCTCTTGGCAGCTGCTAATTTTAAAGTAACGTATTAATCAAATTAATTGAGAGTTCCTTTTAATAATTAGCCGCAGCAAACGTAACTTTCTGAAGCGGAGTTTTCAGTATTGCTAAAAGTGCTTCCCCAAAAAGAGTCCCTCTGTAGATAAATCATCTGAAAAAGTGTTAAATTGTCTCTTTTGCTACCTGATAATCCAATTAAGTGGTGATAAGAAAAATAGCTCTTGGAGAATTTCAGGGAAGCAGAATAATGTACTTAGTGTTGTACCAGAATCAAAATACCACATAATAATGGGTATCCATGGATACTGGAGCAACACTTTGATTACCAGATACATCCATTACCCTTAAATACCAGAGTTAGGTGTTTAATGCCCCGACCAATTTAACGCGTGGCTGCTTGAACTTGCAGGGAGAACTCTCCCGGGGTTTTGCCTTGCAGAGGCACAGCGCGGGATGTGTCAGTGGGCGCTCGGGTATTTTTAAGCCTCTCCATCTCTTTCCAAGTCCCTGCGTGGTTCGCGGTGGCTGCTGCCGCCCAGATGGCTGCGGCTGCCCGCCTGTCCTCGAGCTGCCTGCGAACTGGAGCGTCCTGTGATGTGGCCCCGGCTCCAGCCCACGCCTGGGACACACGAGTGGGATTCCCATGAACAAAAATAATAATAATAAAAAAAAAGTCATATGATGATTTTCTTACAGTGCTGGCGCTGCAGGGATGGGTGGGCGCAACGTTGGGTCTCTTATCACGGTGAGATGAGTGCATTGGTTATTTCCTGGATCCATCAGGAGGTGGAAGCCACGGTTTCATCACAGGGGTTTTGACTTCTCCATCTGCTGTGCAGAGCGGCAGTGGGACCCTGCACAGACGCTGCTGTGGGTGCTGGCAGCACCAAGGGGCGTGTGGGACTCCCACTGGTGGGGTCTGAGGGAGCCCCTGCCCCAGCTCGGCTTTTTCCTTCCCACTGCATGAAAGGATCCCGTCTCCTTTCCTAGCATTGTGAGTGAGAAAATAAAATGCAAAAGAGAAGGAGTAGAATGGGTGTTTAAAAAGCACTTTGATAATGAGCCTTGGAAGTACGGACGTTTTTAAAATTGTATTTTATTTTATTCTTTTTTCTGCCTTTTTTTACTCACAAAATGTCCTTTATATTATCAGAGTTCAAAACCAGCTTCCTTGAATGTCTCTATAAAAGTTTGCATAGCAGAACAGTTTGGTTTTGAGGATGCTTGTGCAGCAGCATCTTACATATGTATTGTGCTGGAAAGGGGAAAAAGAAGCAAGCTGGCATCCTCTGCAGGCAGGGGAGGACGGCTTTGGTCCCTCCTTCCTGTCAGCGCTGGAACCAACCACATCCTTCCTGTGAGCCATTCTGCTGAAAGTGGAAGCAGGAAAGCCAGAAGCGGTTGTCGTCTCATCCCACTTGTTGCACCACTTTCTGGTCTGCCTTTGCTGCCCTGTTCAGCTTGGGGCTTTTCTGATCGCCCTTCACTGAGCTTCAGTGCTGGGTTTTCCTGCTCTCAGCTGAATAGGAATTGTCTGCAAAAAAAGGACAAAAAAATGCTGGTGAATACTAATTTGGGAGGGTAAATGTGATTTTATGCTTCCTAAACTGAGACTAAATTCAGCTTTGGGTGGAGAGAGCAGGGGAGGATGATGAAGATGAGGAGGGCTGTGCGTCACTGACTTGTCCCACTGCCCCCCGCAGCCTGGGAACCCCTCAGCCCCCAGAGCCGTTTCTCTTCTGTGCCTGGTGGCTTTGATTGCGGTGCTGGTGCTGTTCTGTGATCTATGAATTTTCTTCCCAGCCTGGCCGCCAAACCAAAAAATCAGGTTTTTCTAGATTGCCAGCATCCTGAGCGATACCTTAAGATAAATTTCCTCTGTCTCCAGCATCATGTAATAAAAACTTATCCAGGAGCATGTGAGAAAGCAGGGGCCATTATAAAGATCAATGTGAAACTGAAGAAGGTTCCCTTTGTGCAAAGATGAACTGGAAATGGAGTTTCTTGAGACAGAAGCTCTGTTTCAATGAGTCTTGTCAGTGACTTAATGAAGTTCAGAGGGATCTTCTACTGGGAATAAAATTTAGGGGAAAAGCTGTTTTTCACCAGCCAGGCAGAAATGACACGGCTTCATTTTGCATTTTGTTTGTTTGCCAAAAAAAGCGTCATGAGGGGGTGTTAATTTTGGTGGCGCTGTTGCATTTCTGTGGTTTCTGAGCCCTGCCAGGGGCTCGCAGCGTGGGGAATTTTGATGCCAGGAGCAATCCCAGACAATCAGCTCGGTTTGCCAAAGCAGCGCAAAACCCAGGGAAAACTAGGAGCTGCAAAACCAAATACTTTCCAAGTTATTGTTTGAGGAAACAGGTTGCCTTGTTGTCTTGGCCTTTTCGCAGATTATTGTGCGTTTTCACAGCTTACTTGGTAGACAAAGGCGCATCTGGAAGGGGTGAACCCCCTAGCTCTGCGCCTGGTGTTCCTGGCCTGGATTTGATGTGATTAAAAATAAAACATTTGCTGGCAGTGGGAAAGGGTGGAAAAGATGCCAGGGTTGGACTTGTGTCCGTAGCCTGGGAGAGGAAGGATGTTGTTTCGAGGGTGGAGTGGCACAGACCTGGCTGCCTCATCGTCATCGCTGTGACCACCTTTCATATGCTGATTCCTGTGAATTTCTAAAACTCTGTTGTTACACTTCTATGACAGAATTGCTTGGATGCTGTATATTATATACACTGCAGTGCACGTCTCTGTGCAGCTCCATATCCATCATCTGCATCACGGCCTCTGCACTTGTTTGCAGAATCCTGGGTACCCAGCAGACAGAAATTACCATAGCGAACAGGAACCCTCTGGTTGGGAGGTGGTACTGCTACTGGGACCAGTGCCAGCGCCAGGGTGACTGGGGGGCTGCTGGTGCCGCACGCCCTGCAGACCATTAATTGCCATTGCAGTTTGTAGCTGATGGGAGCGTTTGCCACTTCTCCAGTCCGTCAAGGGTAATATATCACTGCAGAAATCCAATGACAAAATCCCTAATTTGCAACTTTCATCCTTTTACTGCTGAATTCCCTGGGAGGTTTTTACCTTGGGAGCGCTGTGAATTAGCTTGACAGTTTAAATAACTGTGCACATGTTTGCTATTGTAATGAGGATGCAGGACGGGAATATGAAAGTTAAACTTACTCTGTATGTGCCAGTTGGACAATACATACCCAATTCCTTGGGCGTCTGTTACTGCTGAGGAATGAAAAATGACGCGTGCTTCTGCCTGCCATGGGGTCCTCCGCACAGATCGAAACGCTTTTATCCGCGCTCATGAGCCTGGAGGTGTCAGATGCTGCCGTGCCCGGTCCCATCGGCGGCCGGGATGGATCACCCACTGCCGCCGTCGGAGCTCGTACGCGGTGTCAAACGCTGCCCGGCTTGAGCGCGACAAAGCAAGTTAGAAAATAATCCACGTCTGACCCATTTCAGTGACTGGGAGCACATATGAGTCTATCTGTAACAGTGGCACTTTCCTGGAAGAGACACTAGCAGTTGAAAATCAGAATATCCATCAAGGTGTCTGAATTGTGTTATCTTGGTCCCCTTCTCATCTCACTTCTCTCCTTTCTCATTTGCCCTTGGTTTGCCTTGTGCGGCCCCAGCCCTTCCTAACACCACTTCAGAGCGAGACATCTCATGCTGGGCTGTTATACTGAAAATATTTTAGCTGCCATTACTGTAGCTGCATTTAATCATTGGGTTTAATCATTGATAATTGAAATTTACCCATAATTCTTGCTTGCCATTTATCTATAAAAGGTTAATGGGGCAGCATGTCAGCCACTCCATTTAGGAAAGCTCTCCCACTGTCCCAAAGGCAGCAGATCTAAAGGTACTAGACCAAAGGGTAGCAGACCTCTCAAAGGTAGTAGAAAGCTCTGTACCACTAAAAGGACCTGAAATCTGCCCTCCCAAATTCCTGTTTCCTTTCTCCACCCTGGCTCCTCTTTTCTTTAAAAAAACCTGTGGAAATTACACCCTTTGAAGCTGTACCTCGCCTTAGAGGCTTTTTTCTCTCGCTGTTGAGAGCCCGGCCACAGCTGTCCCTGTCTAGAGATGCCCGGTTCAGCTGTAATCATTATCGCTCATAATAAGATCTCTGGCTTCTCCAGCCGGGCAGTGCAGATTGTGTGACTCGCACAATCGCTGCAATTATTGTCAAGGGGTTGCTGAGCCAGCAGCCTTCCCCATCACTTTAGCCATTTTTTTCCCAGCACTTAAACCATGCAGATCACAATTACTTAATATTAAATGCTGATTTTTTTAATAATAGTTTTACAAAGACAATGTATCACCTGATCTAAGGTGGGGGTTTTTTTTCTTTTCTACCTTGGGTAGGTACAGGAATTCTTTAAGGTAAAGCGAGCACCTGTAGGCATTCTTCTCCCCAGTTTAAAAGGCCCTTAAAGTTAATTAATCACTCGCTGATCCTCTCATGAGGACTGGAGTGATGGAGAGCTGGGATCTACCAGGATGCGTCTGAACGATGGCTCCAGCCAGCACGCGAAAACCCTTGGGTCTCGACACCATAAAATACAGCCATATATCCTTATATCTGTATGTTCCCTCCTGGTCTGCCGTGGCAAAGTGAGAGCCTCTTTCTTGCAAGGACATCAGGGAAGGAACGCGTGAATTTTCAGGTGACAAACTTTGGAGTTTTGTCACAGTCTGTGGGTTGGGTTGGATTTGTTGTTTTGTTGTTGGTTTGTTTTTTTTCTCTCAATGAATTCTCCAAAGTTCCCACGTCCTTATTGAACAAGAGAAATGGGAGTCTCTGGGGGGAGGTTCAAAGCAGCTCATTTTGACTGGGAAAAATAAAAAGAGCATTTAAAGAATGGTTAAACTTTTTGAACTCACTAGCAATGAGACTTTCTTTCCTCATTTAAACATGCATTTGACTTTTAAAAAATCAGTCTTGATTTCTTTTAAGGAAAAAAAAAACAGGTGGCAATAATTTTGGGTTGTAATAATTGTGAATCACAATGAAACATTCAGTACGAGCCAGAGAAAATCTTGGGGTTTACAATTGTGTTTCATTCTTTCCCAGCCTTTCCTTTTCACCACTTCAGTCCTTCCCACCGAAACCAATCCTCTTTTCCCCAGAGGTTTTGGATCAGCTCGCACCAACAGCCCTGGCCTGACTTGAGGCAACCTCCGTGGCTCAGCTTCTCTGCATCTGAAATAAGGGGAAATGATCCTGCCCTGCTTTGGGAAGGGCTCAGAGATGAGCGGAACAGCCGCATTTTGCAGTTTGAAAGCCGCGTGTTTGGTGGTTGTGGCTGCTCCGTGGTTTTCCTCTGGGTGTTTTTGCATTGGCTTCGGGTGCTTGGGGATGGTGCTGGGATCAGTCACTATTAACAGCATTTAACAGCACTTTTCAATCCGTATTTTCCGGTATATCTGTGAATACCTCCTTGTCCTGCTGTCTTTTAATTAACTCGTCCCCACTGTTTCTTGTTGTGCATTTCTGGTACCTTATTAATTAATGCACTGTGCAGTATACTGAGGAAGTTGGTATGGAAGATGCCATAAAAGATGAAAGTGTTTGTCACTGAGAGAGAAACTAATGAAGGCAGAAGGGTATTTTCATCTGCCAACAATGACAAGAGAAGGTCACTGGAGTTGGGATTGCTTTTCATTGTTTTCTTCCTTGCCCCCCAAAGCTAAATAACTGTAATATGTGAACTGTGCTAAAACAGGGGGTTTTGTATGGATGTATTTATCACTATTACTTTGTTGATACTGTTTTTTTCCAACGTTACCTGTGTATTTATGAGAAGCCCAGTTCACAGACATGTACTTTGCCTTGAGGCCTCCATCTCGTTTGGTGACGGACAGTTGAATGAGAAAGGATTTTCCTGAATGATCTTTGCTTTGCCAATATCTCAGCTGCTTTGCTGTTCCTATTCCAGATGAGTTGTTGAGTATGAGTTGAAATACTTCAGTGGAAGTATTTTCCCTTAATATCCTTCAACTTGCAAAAATTAAAAGGAATTTCAGCTTTTCACTGAGATAAAGTTTGTCTAATCCGTTGCCAACATCCCTTGCCTTCCAGCCGTGTGTTTTCCCAATGCCTTTCCTGTCCTCTCCTCTGACGCAGCCCTTTTCTTCTTCCTTCTTTCTCGCACAGGTGGGCTCTGCATCGCTCAGTCCCTGAAAATCCCCCAGGATCGCAAGGACAAGACCATCGACTTCGATAAAATCATCAAGCAGCTCCTGGAAACCCCCAACGCCAGGGCCATCGTTATTTTTGCCAATGATGAGGACATAAAGTAAGGATGACCGAAGGAATTCATTAATTCCTTTGTGCTTGATAGCAATACAGAAAATAGAAAACAAGTGAGAAAGTGCATCGTGAGGTGGGAATGGCTGTTGGTAGGAGCATCACGGGGATGAGGGGGGCAGCACCAGGCCCTGGCTCATGTGGTGCCCTGGACCCCGGTCATCTCTGTACTGGGGGGGCAGGAATGGGGGTCCAGGTCTGGAAGCTGTTCCTGGCACAGGGCTACTCTTACATTGGGAAGCAGACCTGACCTTACCTCTCAAAGAGATTCCCCTCTCTCCAAGCTCATACTGCTATGTATTATTCATTAATTCAGAGGCTATTTTATGGTAAATGATGGTTATTAGTGATAAAATGGCTTGGATGCTCAAGGTTAAACCACACACGACTTGCTCATAAAGTAACATAAAGAATATTTTAAAAGTGTGACTCTCATTTCTCAGTTGCCCAGGTTCTGTATTCTCTTTCCAGAATTTTAAATTAGCTTAAAATTTTGATGACATTGGCAATTGCTGAGAGGCTCAGCTCTACAAAATAAGACACAGAGAATTTAGGATAAAGTTTCAGTAAAGTCAATGGCAAAGCTATATGTTTTAGTGGAATCGGTATTTCAGTCTCAGTGTATAGGATGAATTAAAGGAGAAGTCAAATCTGTGCTGCATGGATCAGGGTATGGTGTGTTGTGAAATCCTAAGCTCTCTTGGTTACAGGAATGTGCCATTTCTGTTCATTCTGCACTTGTCACACACCATAGTCCCCAAGAAATTACATGCGTAAATAGAAGTAATTTGTGAACAAAATGTGTTTTCCCCACAGACAAATCCTGGCAGCCGCCAAGCGGGCAGACCAAGTGGGCCATTTCCTGTGGGTGGGCTCGGACACGTGGGGCTCCAAGGTGAGCCCCTTGCTGCGGCAGGAGGAGGTCGCGGAGGGGGCCATCACCATCCTGCCCAAGCGAGCCACCATCGAGGGTGAGTCCTTAGCTCCTGACATTTCCCCAGATATCTGTATTTCTCATGTGAAAACTACACGGTATTTCCGTAGCTGAGAAGCTACCAGTGGTTATTTACTAAAGGCACCGTTTCAGTGTTTACATGAAGCCATGGTGATATGACAGGGCCTTTATCACTTAAAAGAAAGTCAACCAAAATGATCTCAAGATATCGTTTATATACCTGGGAAGGGAAAATCTTCATATTGCTTGTGTGCTTGTATACATAGAAATTATGGGATGCTTTTTTTACATCATCTCTTTATTTCTCAACATTTCTTCGTGTTCTGAAGAGTTTGATGCGTGGTCTCCCCTCGATTTGTTATCCCGTTTGTCTGTATAGATGCTTAACTGACCAAGTGGCTTTCTCTGGGCAAATCAAACTCACTGGTTAGAGTCAGTGTGCTCTATAATATGAAAAGTTATTTATGAGGGAGACACCGAGTAAAGAGAACAAACTCCTCAGCTGACACATGGCTTGGTGGCAGGCAGGGTCTCCAAAGAGTGCCAGAACACGTTACCCACATTAAAATAGGTTCTGTTTGTTTTCATTCACAGGAAGACCAAATATTTGCATTCATACATACTGAGTTATTCTTCTCAGGTATATAATATGCATCATCCTTTTACGTTTTTTTAAGCCCTGGAGGCATTTTTGCATGTTACTTCTCCATAAATACGTAAAGTTGACAGGCAATGAAGTGGTTTGTTTCTGAAAAGCAGAACATTTTAATCATCTTCTCATACCGCCTGTATTCATCCCTGAGGGTTTCTGACACAGAAGCGAAAAGTTTCAACGGTGCACAGAAATAAAAACTTTCCAAGTTTGTTTGTCTTAAAATATTTTCTTTCTGTTTTACACATTAAGCACTCTGGACAGAATGGGAAACATGAGGTTTGATTTTGGACACAATAAGTGGTGGTAACAGAGTGGAAGGGTTCAGGTATAGAAGGTTGGTTAAATAACAGTTACAAATACCAGGATATTTCATGTCCATCCATTGAGCTCGCAAATATCTTATTATTCAGTGAACATATTAGACTGTTGCCTAAAAGTTGGCTAGTTGCAGTTTGTATTTATAGTCCCATAGATTGCATGATGACTCGTTTAAATTCCATTTTTATATATAAGTATATATGTTATATATATGTGTGTTATATACACAGATATATAGATAAATATATATATGTATGTATATAAAAATGTGTTCATTCTCCAGGAGTGGCTGCTGTATAGCAGATAGGGATTTTGAGGTTGATGGGTTGCATGTTATTCCCAGAAAGGGAATCACTCTCAGCCAGATGTAGGGTTTGGTTCTTGGTCCAAAAGGAGTGGATGGGTGCCCCAGCACAGCAGCACCGTCAACAGCAAACGTCTCCTGAATCACAGAATCACAGCGTCGCCCGGTTGGAAAAGCCCTCTGAGATCATCACGTCCAACCGCTCCTGTCTACCCCCTAAACCATATCCTTAAGTACCTCATCTACCCGCTCCTTAAACACATCCAGGGATGGTGACTCCACCACCTCCCTGGGCAGCCTGTGCCAGCTTCTGACGACCCTCTCAGTAAAGAACTTCCTCCTTATCTCTAACCTGAACCTCCCTTGGCACAGCTTGGTGCCGTTTCCCCTTGTTCTGTCCCCCATCACCTGGGAGAAGAGACCAGCACCCACCTCTCTACAAGCTCCCTTGAGGCAGTTGTAGGTGGTGATGGCGACCACTCATGAAGGTCCAGGCTGGTCCTTACCTTCTCCAGCCCTGCTCATCCATCCCTAATGGCCATCTGCTCAGTCCTGCAAGGAGGAGAGTGGAGGGGTGGTTCAAGTGCAGAGCAAAATCCCCTCCTCCTGGAGCAGTTTGCCTGAACTCAGCATTTCCCCTTCCAGACCGAGTCCGCTCCCATTTCCTCCACTAAAAGAAGCAGTCAGTGAAATCTGTTACTCACAGGAGTAAATAATCCTTAGGTGTTAGCACTTCTTTGCTCACTGAGGCTGTTAGCCATATGGATTGTCTGCCTGTCCTGCATTTAGGCTGCTGCGTGCGGTTTTGTTTTTCTCTCTGTTGTTGCAGTAATTTCATTTGGCGATGCATCCCAGAGAACTGGAAGCAGGCATTTTAATGGTATTATTTTATCATCCAGCAATGAACATCTGCTTCCTAAAATGTAGTAATGCATTTCTTTTGATGAATACATAAAATAAATGAAATAAGAAGCCTTGATTTTCCCTATAAATATATGGAAACAAACTAAATTAGTAGAATGGAGCTCAATTTGCCCTGAAGGGCCATGTCTCAAGCAGCATCGCGGCCTTGCCAGCTCCTTTTTGTACAGCTCACGGGCTCCGGGTCAAGGCCACAGCTCAGCACCAGCTTAATTGCCCCTGGATTTGGTGAGAACTTCTATTTGTCATTAATAAGGAGGTTATCCTTATTTTACTCCTATGAGCATCTTTATTTTTCCTTTTCTTTTGTCACCGTGTTAAATAGTATTTGTAATATGCTAGGCAAAGATTCCTGACAAACTTCACTGGAAGCAGAGAGCACTGCAGCTCCCATACCTTAACTGGAAATATGTGATGCTGCAAGCCTCTCCCCATGCTTCAGGGGGAAATGTGAGGCTGATAAGCCAGGAGATGTTAAATTACATTGAAAATTAATGTGCCTTCATGCTCAGGTGTATGTGGTACACTTTGGATGACCAGATTTTTGATGTCTGTAGAGCTATAGGGAAGGGAAGGGTTAGGCTGGATATGAGGAGAAGTTCTTCACTGAAAGGGTTATCAGGCACTGGAAGGGGCTGCCCAGGGCAGTGGTGGAGTCCCCATCCCTGGAGGGGGTCAGAAACCGTGTGGATGTGGCACTTGGGGACATGGCTTAGTGGGCATGGTGGGGTTGGGTTGATGGTTGGACTTGGTGGTCTTGGAGGTCTTTTCCAACCTGAATGAGTCGATGATTCTGTGATTCAATTCAAAATACAGACGTGCAGTACAGGCGTGTTGCTGTATTTGCACCTATCTGCGTTTATGCCATGTGAAGTTACTGGGTTTTGGTAACTGTCGTAATATTCCAGCAGCCTCCGACTCCAGAGAGAGTCTAAAACTCTCGGTTTCGTGTAGAATCAGGCCTCAGATCCGCAGTTATTTGTCTTCATACTTGATGTTACTCTTGGGACAAAGTTTTCTTTGCCACAGTCCCATGGGGTGATTTAGGAAATCATTACATGAGCTGAATTCATTCATCTTAAGTCAGTCTTAATATAGCCCAATTGTGCTGGATGTAATTACGCTGAAAGGATAACGTTGCATCTGATCTGCATAATTGCAGTAGACAGCGAGCCCGAGCGATGGCTTCACGAGAACTCGTGTTTGGAGCAAGCTGCACTGCCAGCGTAACCAGGTATCACCGAGCAGAATGCATTTCTCTTTAGGACAAGTATGGCAGCTGTGTATTGTATTTGGGTTAGTGATGCTGTGAACTCTTCCAAAACAAGGACAGCGTTGTTGCACTGCAAAACTGCAAATATTTGTTGGTATGGATGTAAGATTTTGCAGCCCTACGCCTTATTTTGAGTGGTCCTTCACTCACTGTATATCCCTTTTTTTCACGCTTTTGTGAAAAGGTGCAATAGAGCCATGGAGTGGAGATTAGTGCTGGAAAATGAGAAAAATTAAACAGCTTAAACAGCAGACAGAAGATGTATTCCTAGTTAAAAGTTTTAATGGGATGTAGTAGTAGTATTATTGCTATTATGTTCACTTTACAATGACACGGAAATGATGAACATCTGTGGCTCTGCATGCATTCGCCGTTCATTGAAACAGCAACACAACGGAAAAAAAAATCTGCAGAAAATCTTTCTTCTCCAAAATGCATTTTGTGGGACTTTACCTACTGCTGCTCTGTAGGTGGAAATGAACTTCTTCCACGCTCACCTTTTTCACCACAAACTGACCTTTATGTATTCCTCTGCCACTTTACCTCTTCATTTTTCAGTAGATTTAATAAACTTCAGAGCATTTCCTCTGCCTCTTGCTATCACTACTGTACCCAAATCTAATTATGCATTTTAACTGCCTGGGGTAGCTCTCGTTATTGTATAGACATATATACGAGTTAGCTGGCTGACCCTCTGATTAAAGACGATAATCCTGCTGGTCCAGACACCAATTAAAGTGTGGATTCAAAGTCAGGACTTCCTAAATTCTTTCCCTGGAGGGCAAGCAGATCTTTCTGGCAGGGATAAGAAAATCTGTGGGATGAGAGAGGGGAAAGCCTGGTCCTTCTGGAGCAGGTTGGTGCTGAATTCAACGTGGAAAGCTGTCAGACAGCGCATGTCCAGGAGATACTGGACTCTGAGGGATGGAGTCAGGACTTGACTTTCAGAGTGATGGCCTTTCCCATTTTTGTTATTTTCTTTCCCACTTTTTTCTTCTAGGCTAAGCAACATCCACACTTTAAATTTGCTTCTATCAGTCTGTAGTATCATCTATCCAGAGTAAAAATGGCTCACTGAAGCTGTAGTAGGTGGGACAGTAACATTCAAGCTGGTGGTTGGACCTTCAAAAGGTGGCCACCACGCTTTGCATGGCAGCCCAGCAATAGGGTTTTATCAAAGGCGGTGTCACAGCTGAAATGAGGAAATAAGCAGCTTTATTCCTGCAAGGATGTTCGTATCGTGCAGCTCCAAGATCTGTCCTTGAGGATATCCTTAACATTGAGGTTTGCAGGAGCTGTAGAAAATATTGAACGCCACCTTTTTAGGAAATGTGGATTCTTCAGAAGTCCTAAAGATAGGACTAGAACAGAGACAAGTCATTTGTGAAGATCACAGCCATATTTGTAAGGAGTCCAAATGTCTCAGTAGCTCTCACAAAGTTTCAAAAATAACTCTGTGTAGTTTCCGTGACTTGAAAATCTCTCTCTATTCAGGGATATCCTTATCAACTGTTTTCCCCTTAACCTCAGCCGTAAAAAATAACA